CTGCATTACATCAGACATTAGCACAATATTGTTCCATAAACATATTTAAAAGTGAGGCTGCTGCTCATGCATCTTGATAAAAGTCCAATGAAAGTCATCATCCCATCCAATTTCAAGTCCTGTCAAAATCATAAGTAATCTTAATTCCTAAAATGCAGAATGGATTCGACACCTTTGAAGACTTTAAACCTGGTATTGAAGTGAATTAGGCCAATTAGCAATCAGATTGACAAACTGGAGACACAAACACCAACTGTTATTTCTATGATGCCAGGCAATGTTAATAAGCATAAATGGCTCCTTAATTTGAATCAACCTGTTTGCAGTCCCTTTTCCATCTGCCAATCCTGACAAATATGCTGTGCAACCTGACGGAAGCTGCTACCTCCGATCTCAATATGCCTCCTGGTACTTGACTTTTACCAGAATATGTCCACCAGGTGTCATGGTCTGCACAATGGCAGCCCCCTCCTCTGTGTGTGTGAATGAGCATGAGTGTATGCGATGTGTTTGGCAGGTCTGGGCATGGGCATGACTTCTCTCCGCAGGTCCCTAAACCTAACGTGTAGCTCTTCACCACTAATCATCTGCTCCAGTATAAGAACCCTGGTGTTCACTCCACTCATTCCAAATCATACAGTCCGATGCAGGGGTAGTATTGTGCAGTATTGGCTCCAGCTCTGTAGTTATTCTCTGTGCTCCGCCAGTGTGCTTATGCTCTGCTTCTCTACCTGCCTCAGATGCTAATCTGTCAACAGAATAGTTTGCCTGGCAGTCCGCCCTGCCTGAATCCTGTCTGCCTGATCAATTCGTACATCGGAGCTCACGCTGCTTCCGAAATCCAGTGTCCTGTTCCCTGCTGATCCCCCTGTGGGAGTCTACCCGGCTTAATCACCTGCAAGTGCCGCTCCGCTCATCCACGCCACACCGCGCACCACGCCAAGCACAGTCACTACGCCCGAGACTCCAGAATCCAATCATCTTAAATTGATCTGAGAAAGCTTTTCATCAAACTTCACTGAGTACTGTTGTCTTGAGTCGTGCGTTCAGGTCCAGTTCCTGCTCAGTACGAGAGCCATGTGACCCAGACATGAAGAGACCAATGAGAAGAAGGGCAAACAAGCTATTATTTCATTAAAACTACAATGTCCTCTTAAAAACATTTATACTGAATAATAAATTGTTACATTTTCACCCAACAATTTACAGTCTAATAAATGAATCTCAAATAAAAGTAGGTTTGAATTTTTTCAGTTCAGTTCATGAAATCAAAAAGTACACTTGCCATGTCATCCATTGTTATAAAGACTATAAATATTCATGGTTTTCATCAAGATCTTTGAATAATTTCTAATAATAACACAGTCACAATATTAAAGATTGTCCAATATTAGAATACAGGTGGGCATTTCCTTGAAATTCATAAAGATACTCAAATAATTACATATTAATCACGTCTGAGCCACTAATGTACTCAAATTATAACTATGTATTCAACTATCCCATTAAAATAAACTGCAAATCTGTGTTCTCCTGTTAAACCCCCCAAAAATGCGGCCTTGGCCGAACCCTGTGGCTCTTCTGACGTCCACTGACGTCAGAACACAATATGTCAGTGGACACTAAGAAATTAAGTGTGCTGCCACAGCTGGCTGTGGAAACACACAGAACGCTGGCAACTAGTGTGGACACAGCAGACAGGACATCCCTCTGACTAACGCAGGCAAATAAGGCTGAAAATCAGCAGAGTCTTCCTCCGGGGTGACTGTGCTGCTCTCCTGTGACATTTTTAGGCCAATCACTGGGCTCATCACAGAGGGTTCACAAGATGTACTCTGATGTCTTGTTGTTTCCAGAAACACTGAAATGATCTGTGGTCCACACACACACACACACACACAGTAACTCACTCATGGCAGAGCATGAGCTCATGCTGCATGAACGATGGAAATGGAGTGGATGCACTCGTCCTCCACTGTGAACAAAGTACTGCAGGCTGTCCATTATAACACACTGCTCTCTATCTGTCTCTCTCTCTCTCTCTCTCTCCATAGTCTCACATACACATAAACAAATAAAAGCCCAGCACTTCAAACACTTGTCCACTTCACAACATGTCCATGTCTGCATTAACAGGACTGTTTGAACTGGTTTTGAGGGAACTGATAACAAACATCTTTTTTTCAGTATTGAAATGTTTCGTTCCAAACAGCATCTGGGGCATCGTGTTGTTTTACACTGCATTAGTTTGAGCTTAGTGAACCTAACGAACTGACAACTGGGAATATATTAGTGTTAGGGCTGTCACTTTTTATTTAAAACTCAAAGATTCATTCGAATGTGGGGGGGCTTCATGCTCGAATGACCTGTTTGAATAAAGAATATACAGACCGTCTGAAGTAGTTTGCCTCGTGATCCAGCAGAGGGCGCTCAATGTCAGCTTGGTGTATTTGCACGCCCTTTTTATAAGTGAGGTATGTCAGAAATGTCAGGTTGTTTTGCGATGAAAATGGACAACACTAGAAAGCAAAGCCGTCCTGAGCGGACGATCACGACACCAAAGCTTTTGAGAAGAAGCATGTGAGAGTATTTTGGGTTCTTCACTCTCGACGGCAAAGTTACAAGCAAAGGCTGTTTGTCGTCTTTGTACGTTCACGCATACACGAATGCAAAGTGAGCATTGTGGCTCAAACTCCACGCTAAGCCACACTGTGATTCCCCCCGTCACAGGAAGTAAATGTTTTAAATGCCAACTTCACTGTCACAGGTTGAAAGTGAAGAGAAGGCAAAGGTTCACCTCGACAATATTTGCACATATGTGACTGAGCCATAGACTGTATATAAAGACTGAGCATTCACTGGCCAACAAATCTGTGGGCTCACGTGTCAGCGACATACAAAAGACACTCTTTTTTGTTGTTCAAACTTTTTTCTGAAAACGGTGACAGAGCATATTTATCAGTGTTGCGTTTGAAAATCAGAATGAGTATGATTTCTACAAGAAATGCTGCATAACTTACTCCACCTGCACCGTGCTGTATCCATCATGTGACAGCAATAACACTGACCAGACCAATGTTTTTCTAACTGCCAACATCATCCACACACACTGGAAAACAAATACAGCGCAGTACGTACATTGAAGGGGTGTTCTTTTGTATAAGTGCTGAGCAAATAAGTGAAACCAATAAATTCCTCTCTCATTCCAAAACACATAAACAAGCTATATCTCGGGGTTACAGCCAGCTCTCCTCCTCTTTCTCCATCTGCACAAAACTGCTTAAAGTGATAATGAGTTGTTTTTAATAATCAATTTGCATATAAAAGCCGAGCCGTCTGCGTAGGTGGCAGAAACAGATCCGAGATCACAGTCTGACTGCTGGCAACGCTTCAGAGAAAGCTGGAGAAGACAGAGAGGGAGGCAGGAGGAGAGAGGGAACAAGAAAACGGCGGAGTGAGGAGAGAGAGAGAGAAATGAAATGAAGATGCACTAGAGAAGGACTGCTGTGAGCGAGACGTTCAGAAATGTTTTGATTGTCCTGCAACTGTTTTTGTTGAATAATGTTCACTTTGCGCCTCAGTAGAGGGGCACACACACATACATACTGTGCATATACACGTAAATGGTAAATGGTTGTATTTACATAGCGCTTTTCTAGTCTTGATGACCACTCAAAGCGCTTTACACTACAGTTTACCATTCCCCATTCACACACACATTATAGTGCATCTATTAGCAGCACTTTTTTTTCTATGGGACAGTTCGGGGTTCAGCATCTTGCCCAATGACACTTTGGCATGCAGATGGGAAGACTGGGGATCAAAGTTCCGACCTTCTGGTTGGAGGACGACCGCTCTACCCCTCAGCCACAGCCACACAGTGTGTTTGTACATATAAAAATACATACCAATCTCTTGATTACTAAAAGTAGGAAGTTTAGCGTGAAGCTAACTGTTTACAATCAGTTAGTGCTGACATCGCATTCAAACGTTTGGCCAAACCTATGAGTCAAATTGTTGTAGTTGTGGGGGAAAACGCAGGAGGTTATATCTGAGCACACACACTTCGGTGAGCGTTCACACCACCGTACGTAACGTCACGGCAGCAGCCCACCCACGGAAACACACCTCACAGAGATAATCTCTCTGGAAACAATTAAGACAAGGAAATGTGCACCCACATATTCAAATACACACCTACACATGCACAACGTTTCTGTCTCTTCATCCGCAGAAATGAAGGTTCAGTCTTGACACTGACATACTGTACATACACCAACAGGTACTGAGACCTATCACAAGACAACAGTGTTTTAAATGGAACTCTCTGTGTGCCATCACGCATGGTATCAGATCCAGTGAGGCCTTGTTCACACCTTTACCATCTTGGATGAGCAGACCACAGGTGGACAGCTCTGAGCACATGCTGAACACACCCATGTTGACGATGCACTGAGTTCTACCGTCTCAGGCCACATTCAGACTCGGCGTGTGATCAACTGAAACTTTGCAGACTGGATGAGTTTAGGATGAGTGAAAGACTTGCAAATTAACATTGACAAGTCAGTGAACTAATTCAAATGTCTTGCGTAAGGATGCCAAATGTGGTGAGAAGCACATTTTGACTTTCAACATAACAGCAACTAAAACCGGGCAAACAGTCAATGATACGTTTGAGTTTCTCACCAAAAGACAGTAAATCATTCATATTTGATCATTAATGTGAAGCTCACTTGAACTTAAGTGAGTGTCTGCAGATGGCATGAAAAACACTCTGTATCCTTTCGAGTGAAAATTAAACAGAGAAGAAGAACAGAGAAGCTGCCTCTTCACATTAAAATTGTCTTCCAGCAGATGATGGCATCAAACAGCTTTGCATCAAACCTCTGCAACAAGCAGCCATTGATGCACAGGTTCATGAAATGGCATCCTGTAAATAACAAGAGCCTGAAGTGACAAAACTCAGAATGTAGATAACAAGCAGTGTTGGTGATACTCACTGGAGCTGTGGTCAGAGCTTCCTTGTCGAAGTACTTTTTCCTCTCGTACTTGTCCCGGATGAAGACCTCCACTGCTCTGACGGTCAGGGTTAAGTACTGAAATACTGCACAAAAAATATCCAGATAAAATCTGCATATGGTTTAGTCCTCAGGAGAATGAGAGGTAAACAGGTAAAATGGTGTTTTCATGGAATTTGTGACTCAATGTGTCTTCCATGACCTTTAATAGGGGCCTTAAAATATTTCAAATCTTTGAGACAGTTTTCCTCCTTAAGAATATAATAACAATCCTGACATGTCTTAGTGACCAAGACTTGTCATCTGATCCCTCCTATATGGTTTAACAACAAGATGGTTCTATTATATAATAATTATCACGATAAATGTTACATTTTTATTTCTCTTCACTTTAAAGACTGATTCTGTCTTCTGAGTGAACCTTGTGGTTTTAAACTCTTCTTTATGAGCAGAGAATGACAAACACTTGAGAGCAAAACATTTTCCAAGTAGAAGGTAGATCAATTATGTGTCGTACGTCCCATCTGTTAAAATAAACTCATATATTCAAGTAAGAACAAGTGAGGCTCTTTGATTTGAACAATGGTAACTAAATATCTTGGAACAGTCATATAAATTTGATTTGTCAGAGGGATTTGTGACAGGTTTGACAGGTGCTGTTCGTAGAGATTGGGGCATCAGGTCTAGACATGTTTATATAGATCATTTCATTTTGTATTTCAGTTTGAACAACCACAACAATTTAAAGACAAATCCAGTCAGAGATCAAATACTAGGTAAATGCTGTCCCGCAAACGGGGTCATGTTCTCAGTCTTCGGTCAGTGGGAATCCTGATAAAAGACGGTATGGATCCAGATATGGATTCTATTGTATCGCCTTGCCTCATTGCATCACTGACATTGCTAATGTGTGTGTTGTTGTGTCAAAGTGATGGATCAGTGAATGGATCATTTGGCAGACACACATACACACACACACACACGTCCATCAAACCCAGGCATCACATTATCATTAATCCCTATTCTCTTATCAACACATTTCAGCAGCGACGCCTCTATCAGATCCAGCAATAGACTTGAGAAGATTGAAAAATGATGGCAACCCACACAAGTCGAGCTGAGAGACAAGGGAGGACTGATGCTATATTTGATACACAGAGCGTATTTATTACTGTTGACTAGAGACAAAAGAACACAGAGGATGCTGAGGATACTTGGCTACATAGGTGGATGTGCACAATGTCATAATGATACATAACAAAAAGAAAACATGAAAACATCTGGACAAGGGGAGACAGAATGAATCAGCCATGTGTGGCTGCAGAGGGCGCCATGGCTCAGGAGAAGTTACACAGCGTAGCTTTAAAGCATTAATACTGAACGATTAGGCAGCACATTAATATAGAAACTTCTGCTATGCTCGACACACAATGTGTAAGCAGGAAAATAAGAAATGATCAAACCAAATTTGAGTCAAATTTGATATTATTATTTAATATATGAATATCAGCAATTCAGACGCTAATAGAAAATACTACATATAAAGTTAAAAAGGCTTTGGAGTGATTACATCCAAATAATCATGATCATATAGTTAATGGCTTCTTCTGAGTAACATTTCTCCCTTGAAAATGAAAAAACATTAACGATAATGTTCATGATGTGTTCATGCTATGGGCTAATATTGGACACTGTCTACCAAAATGCGGTTTGATTCATTTTATGCAGCAGGAATTGCCATCACCACTGTGAGATTGGTCTTTGCTGTGTCTTTATTTTTAAGGTGTTGCTGCCTAAATCCTAGATCCAGATTTTTATTTGGATCTGCACCAAACTGCACAAACGCATATATATCAGTCCTCTAAACATGCCTGATTACTTTTTCATCATATGCTGAGAAATCAATGCAAATACCTAAGAAGGAAAAATCCTGGATCAACACCAAAACTGAATGGGTTATTCTCTGACCCATTTCCACCAAGTTTTGTGGTAATCTGTCCTGTATAGTAATGCTAATTAGCAGACAAACAAACCAACAGATGAAGCCCTAACCTCCTTGGCAGAGAAGCCAAGTAAAAATAAAAACCAAGAATTAGAGACGTGTTGAAACAACTGGTGTAGACACTCCACGTTTGAGTTTATGTGTTTGTGATTTGTTAACATTAACATTCATGTTGGGATATGCCAAAATTGATTAAATACCGTTTCAGTATTACAAATACTTTTAAGTCAGCAAAAATGAATAACTATGAATACACCAAGTGAAGAATTAAATACAACACACACACACACACATCAAAACCCACTTTGTCATTCATATGCACATAAGCACAGTTAATAGTCAAAATCATGATAAAAACATAGAAGAACTCTCTCTCACTCTCAAACACACACATTCACATACATGCACAAATATATATATACACATCTAAACAGACACACACACAAATACACATAGATTCAGGCGGTAGCTCTTCTAATCCTGAGTGTGTTATCTGCTGTTCTCAGCCAGCGGCGCTGCTGTCACAACGACTAATGGACTTCAAAAGAGTGAAGAATGATGACCACCCGCACAAATGGGGCTGCCAGATACAAGATAGGGTATTAGAGCAGCATTTCAAACTGGGAGATTATTTATTTCAGGCGTCTGGTGGAAATATGAGCATATGCTGCGATGTTAACTACACAGCTGTCGTGTCTTGTATTGTGGAAAAGGGCAAACTGGAAACTGCTGTTATGCCACTAAACAGACACTGCTGGAGGTGTCCTGGCCAAAAGAGTAGACTGACACGTAGCAAAGCAGACCTGTCACTTGTGATTTATATACTGGAGGATCTTGCGGGTGTGCAGGAGAAGTTTGACGATGAGTGAGTCGCAAACTGTGAACTCTCTGACTTAAGATCTCAAAAAGTGATCCTTCGGGACTGATTTCAAGTTGGGTCTATAGTTAAGACTAGTGTGCGGTTAAACTCACCAGTGTGCTGAGATACTGCACACACCAAGTATTGGATATCACCGTCCAGCATCACAAGCATAGAGCTACTTCTTGATTACAGCTCACTAATAAGCTCGTAACTTTATATTTTTTTCACTACATTTGTCACTTAAAGGTCCAGTGTGTAAGATTTGGCAGAAATTATAATAGAATAATCCTCATGAGGTTTTCACTAGTTTGTTTCATCTAAATTGTATGAATTGTAGTTTTCCCAGGAAAGGCCCTTTATATTTAAATACTTTATATTTACATTGAGGGGACCCTCTCTACGGAGGTCGCCGTGTTTTTTACATTAGTCCAGACTGAACAAACTAAACACCTTTTGAGTTTTTATGACAATTAAAGGTACCACAGGTTCTTTTTCATGTTTGGAAGGAGAGGGTGAGGTGAGGGGTGTTCAGCTGCAACATGCAGCTTCAACACTAGATATCACAACATTCTACACACTGTACCTTTAAGAAAAGAACAGCATTTTTGTTGTCTTGTAGTCAAACTTTTTTTTTTACTTTGAACTGTCAGTGCTCATAACTCAACTGTTCCTGCACCTCTGACCCAGCAGAAATTTCAAGGACAAGCAGTCTTTATGTTGACATCTCAACATAAAGCATTTACAAATGGATGTGTTGTGGGTTAGGACTTTTTTAGTCTGCAAATATAAACTATACATTATTATTATTTTCTATATAATGATGGATAAAGAACAACTTTGAGCAACTACATTTTTTTTAATACAATTTTATCCATCGATATATTTTGACAAGATTTTTAAAAAGCATTTTGTATCAAACACTTTTACTTAGAATATTATCGCTATAACTTGAATGATAATTTTCATGAATTAACTTATTGAACAGGTTGATGAAAAATAAGAGAAAAACATCTCGACCATCTGTGGTGATGGATAGTAAAATAAAAACCTTGTGTTTAGAGGTACTTTTATAAGAAACGCATTTAACACCATCAATGGTTGAATGTCTTCTCTTGCTGTCCCATAGACGTATAAAGATGGAAACAAATAAAAAATATCCCGGAAACGAACACCGTCATCTTGCTCATTTGGGGCTAGACTCTGCACATCTCCAGTCAGGGGACAGAGGCTGGATATTGAGCTCCTACAGATACAAGCACTTGACACCCGGCTGTGTGTGACACAACTGCCTTTTATGCCAATTTATGGTGGCATTGGAAGTTTGTATGCAAATGCACAATAAAACAGGTTGCTTTTAGATTTGTATGTAAATCTGTTGTGACACATATGGTGATAAAGGGACCTTTTATGCAAATCAATTCTAGCATTTATGTTGACAGAGAAGAATGTCTGGTGACAGTTTTTATGTGCATGTGGAGGGACAGCAGCAGTTTATAGGCACATACTCAAGGACAGGGAGTTTATGCCAATGTATGGAGAGGTGATTTTTTATGGGGATGAAAGGGGGAGTTGAATGAATGCTGGTAAATAGAGAGTCACAGTGATAGGCAGGTGGAGGATACTGGTCGGTTTGCGGCCGTCTGAAGCTCTCCGGTAGGTGGGCCTCATACAGCTGTCTGGCCCTGGAGTTGCCCATATCCACCATACTCTGCAGAGAAGAGAAGTAGAGCGGGAAACAGAGAAAGAATGTAATGCTCGAGAGGTAATTGGTAAAACACTTTCAAGAACATGTCACATGCGGCGAGTTCTTTCATACATCACATTTGCATGTAACTCAATTTAACCCCGCTGAGTCCCGTGCGCGCTTGCTCACACACAAACACTCTTTGTGAAAGACGCACCGGCCGTATGTGTCAAGGCTAAATTAAGAGGAGGGTGATAAATGGGGTGATGATAGGAGAAGTAGAGGAGACGGAGAGGGAATAATCAGCCATCCAGAATTAATTAGTCATTGAAAACAGTGATTAACATTCAGAGTGAGACCCTTTCCACTCACACTCGCCTGATGGATCGGGCTCTGCCATGAAGAAACTCACGCTACCTTTATCCTGTTACACACATGCACGCCAAGCAACTGGATGATTAAATAAATTAGTTTCACTGGCACACACAACACTTGAAAATGTTTTGTGTAATTAATTCAATGAGGCTTGCAAGTCATTGTAGCACCAACACATTTACTACAGTACTCCCTATGCATGTGTACACGTGTTACGGAGTATATGCATGTCACAAATCCACTGTGGAACAACACTGGAATGCATACTAAACACCACATCTCACGTCGTGTGTGTGTGTGTGTGTGTGTGTGTGTGTGTGTGTGTGTGTGTGTGTGTGTGTGTCTCAACTTACATAGACATGCCACTGTTGTTTTGAATCATTGCTCATTTTTTCACTCACATTACTTTCACTTTATATCATTGTCAAAAGATTTAACGGGGTGTGTGGGTATTGTAATGTTTTCAATATGTTTGTGTGTCGCAGATCCAAGGTCCATGTTCAATGCCAACGACATCAGACAGTGTAAAACCAAATGAACCTGTTTTTGAATGAAACTCTTTCACTTTTATCTATTTCTTTCTATTAGCAGTGAATATATTTCTCCACACTTGGTTCCCATCATGCTTTAGGTGATGTGAGTGATGATGTAAATCGGTGCAATGTAAAATCATACAGCATTAGCTGCTAGCAGCTCCTGTTGTAACCTCTTTTGATACTTTCTTAGCTAACAGCCTGGAACTGCAAAATCACAGACACTGTTATCAGTGGTCCTCTCCTTTGTGTAGTGAGAACAAAGCTAACCTGTGGATCATCATGGATTTGTTTTTCATTTATACACATACGTTCACATTCCATGCAGATGTGACCTGTTCTGTGCGTTACAGGTGTGTACGGTTCTGTCTCTGTGTTTGTACCTGGATCTGCTCAGATGTCCACTGGTCCAGATTGACAGATTTGACTCTGGAGATGTGGACGCCCAGGTTGCGGTGAATTCCGGCACAGCGGATACACATGAACACCCCAAGGTTCCATGACGCCCATCGAGGCCCTGAGAAGAGGGATGGAAAGAATGAGAAGGAGACAATTCTGCTTTAAAGCTGTCCTGCTTAGAATATTATTTAAAAAAATAAATGAAATAAAATAATCCAGCTTTATTTAACTGACTCTCATACTGTTGGAGAATACTGTAGCCCATTTAGAACAAAATGGAAGGGGAGACAGCACTCTAATTGATTCATTGCATGTTTGGCCCCTAACACACTGATGATATTTAATGAAGAGACTTAGTGCAACCCTGTTGAACAACCACTGGAGAAGTGGATTTGGACACGTCGACTCCTAAATGCACCTGTTCTTGCACCATGTGCTTAAACTATGTAATGAGGCTGTTAAAATAGTCCTCAGTCTTTCCAACAGATTCAAAATTCTGGATGAGGTGGAACAGCATGTAATGATGAATTAAAACTCAGCAAAGAAATGAAAAGGAAAGGACCATTATTCTCTCCGAGCCTCCAAACCCCAGCATTGTCCTTTGAAAGTGTGCTTTCATAAATCAAAGGTCACAAACGTTGCCTGGTACAGTTTTCAAATGCTTTGTGTGTGGGTTCCACTGAGTCTGGGGAACCTGTCACTACAAACAAACCAGTGAAGAACTGGTGTTTTCCACCAAAGCTGCACAGAAAAAGAAAAGTGACCCATCCCCAGAAACTCCAGCTCAGAGGTCACATTTTGAACTAACTGTTTGACTGACAAGGGATTTCCGTAGAGTGCAGTTGAAGCGGGTACAGTTCACTATCAGAGTTAAACCGACGCTCAAGAAGTTATTATAAAAGATAAAATCCAAACAGGACAAAGATTTAAAGCCTGTACTTCCGTGAAATCTCAGTTGAGAAACTTAGTTCGGTATTTCAGGACGTACACACACTTTGGGTTATTCTGACATTGCAGACATTCTTATCGAAATTGCTTGGGAAGTAATATTCCAAATCCCTTCAATACATCTTAATGGGATTTTATAGCAGAGCAAAGTGTGGTTTGTTTGTATCATCTGATTACATTTCTTTTGGTTTAAAAGAATATTTTTTCTATATAAGTACAAGTGTGCTATAAGTTATCAGTGAAGCGGCAAAAGAAAGTGTGAAGACATATCTTGTCTTACATATTTTCTTATTTCAATTCATTACCAATTACATTTATTTAGTGATTAATAGCTTTAATTAACTGTCACGGTGATTAAAAACCTATTTCCCAATTTGATATGTACTATAATAACCTTTTAGCTCAATGAAAGGAGCAGACTCTAATAACCTGATTTTCAAAAGCTCAAGGGTAATTTTTTAACCCAATAAGTTAATAAAACTTAACAAATAACAAAAATTTTAAAAATAACAGGAAAATTGCCACAATTATCCACATATGGGGACAGGGTGAACTACTCCTGTTCATTCATGGCACAGTTTTAAAAAAAACAACTTGATCTCTGAGTGCATTTGATTACGACACAGAGACCAAACTCCAAAAATAACCAACATGTGGTTACATAAAAAGCTTTTGAAAGAGCACAAGGCCTTGAGATGCACAGAACCAGAAGAAGTGAAGAACCTCAAGGCAGAAACAGGCAAGACTGTGTGCAAGATGTGCAATGTCTGTTAAGAGAGGGGATGGAAATTTGGAATTATCCCACAAGCCAAACATTAACGCACCCATTGAAAGGGCTGTGCGAGGGGGCCGAAATCTGACCTTGCAAACTATGCTTGGTACGACCAAATGTGTAGATCTGTTTTTCATACTATTCATATATTATCTGCTTCTAGAATTTCAGTTCATATCATAGAATGTTTCTCATATTTTATTTCAGAGAAGTAATAAAAACAAAAAATAATAATAATTACAATCATTGTTCATGTAATAATCATAATTTATATTAATATTATTATTAAAAAGGATGTAACAAACATCAAAAAAAGCATAATAATAATTATACAAATTTAAATACATTTAAAAAGGGGGTTGTATAGACATATGACATTGGATATTCCAGGTGTAGGTCTGTTTACGAAAGTTGTTTTGGCTCAAGGCTGATTTGGCTCTGAGTAGCATCATCATCATCATCATCATCATCATCATCATCATAACCACCATCTAACATCAGACGCCTCATGAAAGAGGAGCAGGACCAGCCATCACATCAGAGAGGTTCTAGTGCTAGGGGAAATAAGGTAAGTATGTATAACACAGATGCTTTCCATCAAGAACTACAATGGCACTCAGTAGAGTGCATATCTCCGCCAAGGCCCAACAGTCCACTTAGATTTAATTTAGCTGCACCAAATTTCACACTCATAGATATTAATCCCCAAAATATGTTGTTCATCAAGATCCATGAATTATTCCAAGGGAAATTGGTGAAAACATTAACATATGTTAAAGAATGTGAACAGAATCCTGATTAAGATCCACACCAAAATTTATTGGGTTCTTTCCTGATCTATATCACATCCCTCCACCAAGTTGCAAAAACATCCACCCTGTAATTTTTGCTCAATCTTGCTTACAATAATACAAACATACCAACAGACAGGGGTAAAAGAAAATTACCTCCTTTGCGGAGGTACAAACTAAAAGACAGGCTGTTACACAACAAATTTCCAAAAACTCTTGCTCTGCCAGATCTCCATGGGGATAAATAGTGGATGGAACAGGAATGACAGTCAAATCATTTTAATGGACTAGTGGCAACAGTCCCTCAGCACCATCTTTGGCTCTGTCCCTATCCACACCATGAAGCTTACTATCTGTCAATTTGATGGCTGGAAGCGACTTTTAGGACAGAAAGTGCAAAAGGATCAAATTTTATGGATCCAGGCTGCATAGCGGTGTGAGTCGGACAGGGTTGGATGGCAACAGGCACGCATGCAGTCCAGTGGGCTTGTCGTCTCGCGTAAGAGCATCAGTGTGTTTATGCAATGGCACTAATGCACTAGAAAGCCTAAAGGGGTATTAAGGTGGATGACTGAGTGTTAAGCCTAAATCAAGCAGCTCAGCCTTTGTAAGCTGGACTCTATCTGCAGGATATCTATCAGTATGGATTGGACTTTACTTTGGTTTGCTCTCACAAGCGCATCATCGTCTCAGCTAAGTTCTCATCCACATGCAGCACGCACACACACACGCGCACTCACAGTGTGCAGATACCCACTTATAAGTTCATGTGTGTATAGGCTGGAAATCAGTTTTTGGTACAGTGAAGGTCCACTGTGAAACCTTCACAGTGAGTTTCATATAGGAATATTTTTAGGGATGTTTAACCTCCACCAATGAGCTCATGGTTTCCCTCATGTTTGTCTGTTTGTTTGCAGGATTATATTGAGATGGTGGGTTATGGGCCAAGACAGAACCCATTAACATTTGGAGTAGATTGAACTGAGGGGGGGGGGGGTCTACGTTTTTTTTTTCACTTTCTTTAACATTTTGATATTTTTTGTGAATTTCTCAAGAAATAATATTGAGATCTTAATAAAATAAAACTGACGTACTTGAAAGGCAGATATTTATGAGCATGTGCAATTTGATGCAGCTTGAGTGAATTTAAAGGGACTGTTGGACCTTAGCAGAGGTATGCGCTCTGCTGAGTGCTAGTATTTTCTAGTATTTTCATTGCTGTTTGATTGTCCATCAGCAGGATTATGCAAAAACTACTGAACTGATTTTATTGAGACTTGGTGGAATGGTGGGGTGTGGCCCAAGTAAGAACCCATTAAATGTTCCCTTTCTTTAAGATTGCGAGATAGGGTGTTAGCCTTGGCGGAGGGACGCCCTCTCCAAATGGCCTTCACTGTAATCATACAGTGGTCTGTTGTAGAAAGACATAAGCCTTTGGCCTTCATCTGTGTCTCACATGCGCATCAGTGAATGATGACAGGCAGCGTCTCTGGGTCACGTTATTTTAATCTGTTAACTGTCCTAACTGTTGCTCTGTCTTGGCTGCAGCCAGATGTCGGAAACTTGATGTAAATGTGTGTTAATGTTCAAGTGTTTCCTTTATCAGATTGAACTGATAAACAGAGGTAGATCTCTGCTGTGGAATTCCAAATACTTTGTCATAAACACCTTATAATAACCTTATAATGTCATAAAAACACTTCCTCCATTCCTCTCCCAGTTACTTCAATTGTATACTCAAACACTTCATCCACCCCTCCATCTGCAGAAGGAGTATACAGTGAGTGCATTTTCATTTTTCTTTCCCGGTGAACTGTCCCTTTAAGGTCCAAAGAACAGCTGAACCCTAATATTGCTACTTGCTTGTGCAGCACACGTTTTTCATCTATACTTGACTTAAATGCTTGTTTGAGTGATGTTAATAGCTGGTGTGAAAAGAGTGAGAGACGGAGAACAGCTCATTTGAGGCTAATCAGGTCAGCAGTCTACAAATTGGCACTGGTGCATGTGTTTGCATTTCTGTCTCTCTCTCTCATGTACACACACACACGCACACACACACATACACACACACACATGCACACACACAATTTCAAGCACTTTCATGAAGGTAAATTTGAGCACATCCTGCAGAGCACTATAAAAAAAAAGCGCCTACGCCTGAGCACACACATCAATGTATAAACAAACTGATGCATAAAGACACACACACACCAATACATGAAGATTTTCATAACATGAAGACAATATCACAAACACAGCTAAATAAATGTGCATAAATATTCACTTATATATTCAGGAGAGTCACACACACTGAGACAAACAAACAGAGTCATCTCAGCTGAGACACACAGACACACACACACCCTGAAGCCTTGGTGAGTGACAGCGGAACCTTCCAACCGGGAGGGGGGGGGGGGGGGGGGGGGGGGGGGGGCAGCTAGCCGAGCATGAAATTAAAGCCCCAACTGTCAACCTGAGGACAGTCAGGACGACGACTCAGGTGTGGGTGTGTGTGTGTGTGTGTGTGTGTGTGTTTTTGTTTGATATGATGCGATGGTCGTGGCACACCAGGGAGAGGTGACCATAGATGTGAAGAGAGGTGTT